TTGTGGGTTTTGGTGTACCTGAGGACATGTAATGTTGAGTCACAATGTAAGCATATCTTCAGCTTCTATTATATGATATTTTCTAAAATATACTAATTCAACCTGCAGAGTCCAGTTGCTTCACATACTCTGCAACACTGTCATATTCTTAATTTGAACCACTTAGTGGATGGGTTGCTGGTTTTAATTTTAAGTTTACCTGACTATTAAAGAGAAAGAACGTCTTTTCCTGTATTTTATATTTTCCCTTTTTTGATAATGTTTCTTTTGCAGTCTCTGATTTTTTTCAGTTGGATCACTTTTTGGTGATTTAAAGACGTTCTTTATAAAATGTGGATTTCAGCTGTTGCTTATTTGTATTCCAGATATTTTTTTCTCTGAATTACCTTTTACTCTGTTAATAATAGTGCAATTTATTGTGCTTTTTTGTTTTTTAATGGCTAGATCTTTCCATTGTCTCACTTAGAGAATCTTTTCCAGTAGGATCACACTGTTGATTTATAGTCATTTTTTGGTTCTGTTTTTAATGTGATCAGAATACATACTTGGTAAGATTTTAATGCTTTGAAATATGTTGATTTGTTTTATGGTTTAGCATATGATCTAATTTTGTAAGAGTACTTCAAAAGAATGCTTATTCTGTAGTTGTTGGGTGTAGTATTCTAGTTATGCCAGTTAGATCATCTGTTAATGTTTATGTCTTTTATATCCTTAGTAAGTTTTTCTCATTGTAGTCTGTCAGTTATTGAGATAAATGTGTTAAAATCTCCTGAGTGGATTTGTCTGTTTTTCTTTGTAGTTCCATTTACTTTTGTTTTATATATTTTGAGGCTATAATATGAAGTGTGATTAAAGTTTTTAATCATCTTGTTTGTTTATAATGTTGCCATGCACTGGTTGCTTTTGTGTTAAGTCTGCTTTGTCTGTTAGAATAAGCCTTGCTGGCTTTCTTTGGTTAGTTTTTGCATGGACTCTATCCATTATTTTTACTTCAACCTTTTATAAATTTGTCTTTTTAAAAGCATCATGAAGTTTGGTTCTAAAATCCAGTCTGGCAGTTCCATCTTTCCACATACAGTCTTATGTAGTCACTGATACTTCTGGTTTACATTTACCATTTGATTTTTATTTTTCCTACCTATTCTATGCTTTTTTCTCTTCTTTGAATTGAGTATTTTGTATTATTTCAGTTTCTTCCTTTTTAGGTTGGTAGATGTATACTGTTTTTATATCCTGGAGATTACCATATGAATCTTAACTTATGAAATGTCTAAATTAGTAAATACTTACTCTTTTCAGATAATGCAGACTGTAGAGCAGTAGAATTCCATTTACACCCTCTTAGATTTTCCTTTCTTCTGTCTCTCCCTCCCTGTCACAGGACAGAAGACTTTCTAGGGCTTTATAAAATTAATTTTAACTTAGATTTTTATATATATACATACATACATACACATACACATATACACACACGTTTTTAATTGTCTTCTTATTCATTTATCTAGAATCATTTTCTTATCCCTGAATACTCTAATATCTCCTGTGGTGTATGTCTGCTGGGTGACAAATTTCTCTCTTTTCAATGTGTCTAACAGATTCTCTCCATTTTTTTGGTATATTTCAAGTTCATTCTGAGGGATATTTTGTTGGATATAAAATTCCAGGTTACTTGTTATTCCTCTGTCTTTAAGGTTTTTTTCCTTTTTTATTACGGATAATTTTAAACATACAGAAATTGGGCTTGAGATATAGCTCAGTGGTAGGGTCTCACACTTACTAAGCGTGAGACCTTGGGTTTAATCCCCAGCACCATAAAAGTAGAGATAATAATAGTAAGTTATTTCATCCAGCTTTGGTAGTCTCATAGCTGTCGTTGTTTCAGGATTACTTACTTATCCTTAAGGCTTTTTCCCTTTTCCCTATTATTTTGTAATATTCTTATCAGCTTATCACTTAATATATTGCATGTTATCTGAAAGATAAGAACTCTTTTAAAAAAAAGATTGTCAATATATTATCCTGCGTTACCATTTGCCTTAATTTCATCACTATGTACTCTCCTTAAAGTTCCCAATTGTCTCAAAAATATTTATTTTTTAGCATGAATTAGGGGTAAAAGAAGACTTTTTATTTCTTAAAGCAGTTTTAGGTTCATGGGAAAATTTAGAGTACAGATAGTTACCATATCCTTTCCCCTTTCCTCCAACTTTCTCCACCATCAGCATCATGCTTCAGAGTAGTACATTCATTATAATTGGTGAGTCTTCATAGATACCATTACCCAAACTCCATGGCTTATATTAGGTTCAGTATTGGTATATGTAGATGCTGTGAAATTTGACAACTGTATAAATGACACATATACTCTTCCTATTCTCTTTAACCCCTAGCAATCCCTGATGCTTTTTCTATCTCCATAGTTTTTCCTTTCTCAGGAATCAAGTACACTTTTTTTTTTTTTTTGTACTGGGGATTGAACCCAGGGCGCTTTACCTCTGAGATACATCCCCAACCCTTTTGGTTTTCGAGACAGCGTTTCACTAATTTGCTTAGGGCCTTGCTAAGTTGCTAAGGCTGGCTTTGAACTTGTGTTTCTTCTTGGGAGAGTGGACATCATGCCTTGTTCCAGATTTTAAAGGTATTGGTTCACCCTTGAGATGTTAACCACAGATTTTTTTTTTTTTTTTTTTTTTTGTAGATGCACTTTATTCCAGGTCAGTAGGCCTCTTTTTTATTCCTAATTTGTGGAGAATTTTGTCTTGAATGAACTCTGTCAAATGATTTTCAGCATTGATTAATATGATTGTGTGGTTTTTCTTCTTGTTTTGTCTGTTAATGTAGTGAATTAACATTGATTTTATTTTCCCCCCAAATGTTGACTTAGCCTCACATATTCAGGCTAATCCTACTTGGTCATTAAAACTTTTTCTTGTTTCTGTATAACTGGATTGGGTTTAGTAGTATTCTCTGGAGGATTTCTGCATTTATGTTTGAGAGAAAGAGATTGGTTGGTAATTTTCTTATATGCTCTTTTCACTGGTTTTGGTATCAGGGTAATACTGGTGTCATGAAATATTTTAAGATTCTCTCTTTGGTTTTTGTAAGATTGAATGTGTTTTGGTAGATTGGTTTGCATCTTTCAAAAAAATTTGGTACATTTTATTCAAGTTGTTGATATTTTTCTGTAGTATTCCTTATCTTTTAAAGTCTATGAGGCTTGCTTCCTTTCTGTTGTTTTTGATTTTGTTAATTTATGTCTTCTGATTTTTTCTTGATCCAGCTAGCTAGAGGTTTCATCAGTTTTACTGAGATTTTAAAAAGGTTTTTGTCTTGTACATCTGTTTTATTGATTTCTGTTCTTATCCTTTGGGTTAGTTTGCTGTTTGATTTCTAAAGATGGAAACTCAATTTACTGTGTAATGTGACCTTTCTTCTTAAATATCAGCCTTTAATATTATATATTTCCTAAATCGTTGATTTAGCTGCATATCACAAATTTCAACACTTTTACCTCTTTTTTGCTCAGTTGAAAATATTTTCCTAACTTCTTCTCAAGTTTCCTTTTTGACCCATTTTTAGAAATGTTTGGTTTATTTGTTTGGGAACTTTAAAAATAATTTTTATTACGAATTTCTTCTTCTTAGTCATCTTCCTCCTCTTCCCCTTCTCCTTTCTCTCTTCTTCCTCTCTTCCTCTTTTTCATTCCTGGGTTATTTTTCATTCATACATATATATATATATATATATATATATATATATATATATATATATATATTTATAAAGAGAATTTTTTAATATTTATTTTTTAGTTTTCAGCAGACACAACATCTTTGTTTGTATGTGGTGCTGAGGATCGAACCCGCGCCACAGGCATGCAGGCGAGCGCGATACTGCTTGAGCCATATCCCCAACCCCAACTAATATATTTTTGATGCATTATTTTTATTGGAGTACTTAATTGTGGGCTTCGTTGTTCTATATTTATAGATACACATGATATAACAGTATAATTTGGTCATTATCACTCCCCAGTGTGTCACCCATTTTCTGTTACCGATTTGTAATATAATAGCATTCTTATACTTTTGATTTAATTACTTGAAATTTCCAAGGTTTGTTTTATGACCCATTTATTTCCAAAAAAATCTCCTTAGCAGTAGTGCTGTCTTAGTTCCACTGCTATAAGGCAGTCACATAGAGTGATTTGAAGAGGGTTATTCTTTTTTAAAAATTTGGACTGATTCCTTGAGGCAGTCTGTTAATGTAGATTCCTAGGTCCATTGTGAGGTTTTCCTGATTTGAACAGTTGGGTAAGCCTAAGTGTTCTAGTGATTTTAGTAAAAATCTGAGAAATGGTGATCTATTATATTAGCTTATCGTTCTATTATCAGGTTCTTTTCTCTCCTGTTTTTGCATGTTTTTAGATAATCCTCTCCAGGTTTTCGTGGATACTTCCTAATCTCTTTTTGGTTTTCACTTCTGGAAAGCCTTGTCTAATTGCCTTTTGTGTTCCTCTGTACTTTGTAATGTACTTGACTGATTCTCAATGGACTACTAACTTTCAGGGAAAGATTTTTACTTTTTATTTTGTTTCTTCATAGTAGTACTTGTTAATTGTTGAATGCAAAAATTACTATGGATAGTCGGTATAATAGACCATGAGGTTGGCTGTACATGTATGCAATTAGAAGTAGAGGAGCAGAACTGGAGGTGGAAATCTGAGGAATAGCTTATTGTAAACTTGTAATTTGTGGCTTGAACTAAATTTGGTCCCATTGACTTTAAAGAAAAGGATATTGGAAGCAATGAACTGTTAGACTTTAGCAGAAGTTAGAATATAAAATATGTACATCAAAATAAGATTTTTGTTAGAGATAAGTGGTAATTTAACATAGAAAAGATGTGTTATTGTATTGTTTGAATTTGAGGTACTTTTAGAAACTAAATTGGATGGTGTTTCATAAATACCTGTAATACATATTTATTTTTATCTTATTTAGTTCAAGGAAGAAATCTCTAAACGTTTTAAATCACATACTGACCAACTTGTGTTGATATTTGCTGGAAAAATTTTAAAAGATCAAGATACTTTGAGTCAGCATGGAATTCATGATGGACTTACCGTTCACCTTGTCATCAAAACACAAAACAGGTATGGTTTTAGAAGACACATATCTTTAAACTGTAATAAATATTTATATTTCTCTTTTTAAAAAAAGTCTTGACTTTAAAGGGCTTTCCTTGTCATTAATATTTAAATATTAAAATTCCTTTCTCTGTTACTGTTGATAAAATGTTTTAGAAAACAGTAGCACTTAAACATTGTCAGATAATCATTTAATACTTTAGAGGATTCAGCAGTATTGAGTCATCATATCTAAGTTATTTGAATTGGAGAATAAGCAAGTTAATACATTTTTAGTTATTTTTGTTTTAGGGAAATTTTTAGACAAAGATCTTGGGTATCTTAGCAAATACAAATTAGTAAGCATATTTCATTAAATTGAGCACCATCAGCTTTTAAGAGAGAGACCTTTATTTTGTGTGTCACTCAGAATACTCCTAATTAAGCTGGAATTTTCTTGTCACAATTTTATTTTTTTATCTTTTACTGATGGAGTGTGTTTTAATCTGAATTTTTACTGCTGTGATCAAAAGATCCTACAAGAACAATTTTAGAGGAAGAAAAGTGTATTTGGGGCTCACGTTTGTAGAGGTCTCAGTCTGTAGATAGCTGACTCCATTGCTCAGAGCCCAAGGTATGGCAGAACATCATGGCAGAAGAGGAAAGTGGCTCAGGACATGGCCATCAGGAAGCAGAGAGAGTGACAGACAGACAGACAATGCTTACCAGGGACAAAGTATTAATCCCATAGGCATACCTTCTAATGACCTACCTCCTCTAGCCACACACCCTGTCTGCTTACAGAACCATCATCAAGTTAATGTCTATCAAGGGATTAATTCACTGATTTTAAGGTTTTAAGTTTATATTTTACTGAGCTCTTTTAAAAAATTTGGTCTTTTTTAGATATATATTATGACAGTAGAGTGTATTTTGACATATTATACATACATGAAGTATAACTTATTCTAATTCGGATGCTATTCTGGTTGAACTTGATGTGGAGTTACACTGGTATAAACCTTCTTGCATTGTCTCACAAGTGAGAGGACACATGGGGGACATCTCATCCAAACCATAATAGAGTGACTTTTGACTTATTTGGGTATGGGATTTTATCATATCACTTGTGTACATACAAAAAGATATAAATGACATAAATTGGTTAAAGTCTTTCTAAAATTGCTTCACATTGGTTGTAAGTCTTCTGAATCCTCTTTTGACCAAGTCATCATTGTCCATATTTTCCCTATGATATCAAATTCTGTTCTGTCAAGATCATCAATGGTACAACATTTCTTGAGAACTATGGTGTGTTCTCCAGGATTTTCTTCCAGCTGTTGATATCTATTCAAGTTTTTATTCTGGTGTTCCACCAATAACAATTATTTCCTTTACTAATGAAAAAATTTGTTTCTCCTGTTCCTGTTCTGTGCTCCTCTATACACACGTAATAATATCTTTCAGTGACAATTAATGGTGTAAATTTCTGAGGACACTCCATGTGGTAATCTAACTCAATGTGTATGCTATGTCTACTCAGTCACTCAGTACTACAGAGGGACATGTGTGCAGGCATTAGAGTTAATGCCTGACTGTACAAGTAGTTGCAAGTCAAGATACTGTTTTCACAGTTAAAATGAAAAACTGTACATCTTGGAATCAAAAAGAAGCCATAGATTTAGTTAATTCTATCTCAACCTTTTCAACTTTTTTGGCGAATCTTTTTTTTTTTTTTTAAGGTTTTAAAGCCACTGAGCCACACTCTTAACCCTTTTCTATATTTTATTTAGAGATAAAGTCTTACTAAGTCTCGCCAAGTTGCTGAGACTTGGCTTCAAACTCATCCTCCTACCTCAGTCTCCCAAGCCACTAGGATTATAGGCGTGTGCCACCGTGCCCGGCTTTGATGAATTCTTTCTTCTTATTTTTTTGTTTTAAAAATTTCAAGGATCAAAGTAAAACTGGCCCCCAGCCCTGTAGAATTAGAAGGGGATAGATAAAAAGTTACTTATATAGTTAAGCTTTGTAGATGTGACCAATCATCAATTATCTTCTGTAAGGTGTAACCTCTCTCCCTTTCTTAAGATGTAATCAGTATATTTGAAAGTAATGAAATACTTATTATATATATATTATACACACACACACACACACACACACAAATACTTATGTGTATATCATACTCAAAGAGGAGGGCCAATTGCGTATATTTTGTATTTTATAAGGTTTTACTATGTTTCTGCTTTTTTTTTTTTTCCCCTAGCCCTTAGTTATTTTTATGATAATTTGAATCTGGAATTTACCCTTTGTTTCTGGATATTGGGATATCAGAGGTTCTTTTAATAATAATTAGCTCTACTGCTTATTTTGATTCAATTATTTTCTCTAGGCCTCAAGACCATTCAGCTCAGCAAACAAATACCACTGGAAACAATGTTACCACCTCTTCAGCTCCTAATAGTAATTCAACATCTGGTTCTACTACTAGCAACCCTTTTGGTTTAGGTAAGTGGTGTTAGTCATTTTTTGTAGAAATCAAATAACTCCTTTTCCTCCCAGGGTAGCTTTAGATAAATGACAGAATAAAATGTTAAGTAATTTTAACAACAAATTTTAAAAACCTTCTGCAGTTTTCTTCTATAATTGATGGTGTTAAGAAAAAGTTGGGAATACAAGTGTATTTGATTAGCTTACATTTGCATTTGATAAGTCGTCAGTAAATGACACAGTTCTCTTTCATAATGAAAGATGTAGTGTTTGTATACCTGATCTGACCACTACATAATTACATCTTAGGAAGTTTAACCAGTTGTTGATCAATAATTTTTTTCATTTGTAAAATGAAAGAATTAGACTATATTAATTACTTTCTAACTGTCCTGAATGCATAAAAGGACTGTGACCTGAGAGCAAGCCCAGCAGTTAAGGATCTTCTATATTAGCTAAAACTACTTTTCTTGTATCCGTTTTTTTTTTTTTAATTGGAGTTCTGTGAAAAGTAAAAAATATTCTGAAGCTAACAAAAGTTGAAATAGATAGATGAATGACTTAAAGCCTCTTTCAGTCTTTAAATTGTATGTCTAGTATAGTACCTTGAAATGTCATTGTTTTTTATATGCACAATTTTCACATATCAAGATCATAACATACTTTGTATCCTTTCTGTAAGTAGTTTATTAATTCAGTTATACTATGCCAATTCAGTTATACTATGGAAGGATTTTAGAGAATGGCATGAATTTGAATATTCATATTTACTTTTTAAAAAAAATTGTTGCTTTTATTTTAAAAAGGTATTATGCTAAATGTCTCCTTTGATTAAGGCAGGTAAATTTTAGGTGGCAAAATTATTTATTGTTATTTGTTCTTTTTAGTTATACATGACAGTGTATTTTGACATATTTGTACGAACATGGAGTAGATGGCAAAATTATTAACATGAACGCTAGAGAGATTAGGATATAATTAGTGTTCATACTTATGAAGGATGTTGTTAAGGTAAATTTATGTCATCTTTCCTTACTTCATAGACAAGAATATTGAAGGCTAGAGAGGCTTTTAATTAATTTGTTTGAAGCTACAAAGCTCCCTAATCCCATTAATTCTAGTCTTAATCCTACCCCGGCTTCTTACCTCATTGTCTTTTTTTTTGGTCAATTACTCTTTTTTTCTTTTCTATATTCAACTTTTCTTTTTGCTGGTTGTTATCTGTAAAGCTGTTGAATCTTACCATCCTCTCTGTAGGTTCCCTTCTCAGCTGTCTTTAGAAAAGGCATTTTCTGTTTTTTTGAGTATATTTTCCCTTCACTAAGTTGACTTTTATTTTTTTGTCCCATCATGTCACAGAAAATTCCTTGATAAGATTGCTACTGACCTCTCAAATATAGTAAACACCATTTTTAAATCAGTCTCTCTCTTTTTTTTTCTAAATATATTTTTTGTTGTTGTAGTTGGACACAATACTTTCATTTTATTTATTTATTTTTATGTGGTGCTGAGGATTGAACCCAGCACCTTGCATGTGACAGGCGAGCACTCTGCTGCTGAGCTACAACTCCTAATGCTTAAAAATCTCTCCTTGAAATTTCCTTCCTGTAACTCCTAGATATTGTTTTTTCTATAGTTAACTTTCTAACCAGTCCTTTTCTATCTCACTTGTAGGATTCCCACCCACCCCCAACCCCCGTTCGTGGTGTGATTATTATTTTCCCAGAATTCTGGGAAATTCTTTTATTCATTCTTCTTTTAGTCTCCCTGAGTGACATTATCTTTTCATTATTATTATTATATTCTGCTGATCCTCCACATTTCTACCTCAATTTACCTCACTTCTGAACTCATGCCTTATATTCATCTGTTTTTAGTCACCTGATGTTTTAGAAAACAAAGAAATGTGGGGAAGAAAAAGAAAAACAAAACAAACATAGCATCTTGCTCTTCAAATGCCTCTTTTCCCAGAGCTGGGGTTGTGTCTCAGCAGTAGAGCACTCGCCTAGCAGGTGCGAGGCCTTGGTTTCAATCCTCAGCACCACATAAAAACAAGTAAATAAAATAAATGTATTGTGTCCAACTACAACTGAAAAATAAATATTAAAAAAATATTGCCTCTTTTCCCCATGGAAGCTCTTGGTCTGAAACCTTTTTGTATCCTTCATTATGTAGATGTTTCTCATTGTACTCTCTGGATGTAGATCCTTAATTTTTTTATTCATAATGTAGTCCTGTGTGGGGTCCCGCCACTTTCTTTAGCTGGCATCTTCCGGGATGCTTTGATACCAACCGATTCTCGGAAACCAGCTGTGGATGTTCAATGTTCAATTCAGTCTTTTTTCTCATATTTTTTATTGGTGCATTATAGTTGTACATTCAGCTTAGTTTTGACACTGTTTATTACAAGTTAGTTGTCAGGACTCACATGTTAGACTATCCCCACTTCAAACATGAATTGGAAGTTTCTGGCCACCCTATACTTTTGATGAATCAGCTATAAAACTGGGAGTTCCTTTGCCCAGCGGCCCTCAGTATAGAATTTGCTAGAAGGTCTCCCAGAACTCAGGAAACACTTTACTTGTATCCTTTATGATAAACAAGTAAATATAACTGGAACAGAACAATGCTTTGAACAGGTAAATAGGGCAAGGTGTGTGGGTATGGAGAGGGGTAGAGGATGAGCAAAAAGCTTCCATACCCTAATTAATACACTGTTCTCTTATCTAGGTGTTCTCACCAACCCTGAAAGATGTTTTTAGAAAGTTTGTGTAGACCTCTCAACTCTATCCCCTTCCCTTTTTGGAGGTCAGTAGATGGGGCTCAAAGTTCCATTTCATCCTTTGGTCTTTCAGATGACCAGCTCTGTCCTGAGGCGTGAAGGGACCCTATACTTTTAGCCCTAATTAGCTTTAAAAAATCAAAAAAGTCTATTATGAATTACAAAAGACATCACACCTACCACTCTGAAAATTCTAAGGGTTTTAGGAACTCTGTCAGGAACCAAGGAGAAGGACCAAATACATTTTTTAAAAAAAATATTGTTTTAGTTGTTGATAGACCTTTATTTATTTATATGTGATGCTGAGAATTGAACCTAGTGCCATCAGTATTAGTTTTGGCTAATTTCAGGTATAGAAATAAAATGTCTGTGAGTAATAGGAACTCTGTTTTTGTTTTAAAACTGTTTCTTGTACTATTGAGTCAGATAATATTTTTGAATCTTCATATTTTAGCACAGGCATGGTAATGTTAAAATTTCTTATGTGTTTTTTTCCCTGTTAGGTGGCCTTGGAGGACTTGCAGGTCTGAGTAGCTTAGGTTTGAATACTACCAACTTCTCTGAACTACAGAGCCAAATGCAGCGACAACTTTTGTCTAACCCTGAAATGATGGTCCAGATCATGGAAAATCCCTTCGTCCAGAGCATGCTCTCAAATCCTGATCTAATGAGGCAGTTAATTATGGCCAATCCACAAATGCAGCAGTTGATACAGAGAAATCCAGAAATTAGTCATATGCTGAATAATCCAGATATAATGAGACAAGTATGTAGAAAAATAATTTCAGTTTATTTACCCAAAAAATTATGTTTCTTTTTAAATTTTCTATGGTGACACAGATTGCCCTGCATTTACTACTAAGCTAAAGAGAATTCTGATCACTGTTTAGGAAAACTCATCAAAGCACTAATTTGGACTATTTAAAAATTTTTTTTTTTGTTTTTGATGGACCTTTAGTTAATTAATTAGTAACTATATAGTGCTGAGATTTGAATCCAGTGCCTCACACATGCTAGGCATGTACTCCACCACTGAGCCACAGCTCCGCTCCTGATGACTATATGAACCCAGGATTTTTATGCTACATTTAAAAGTCACTTATTTTGAGGATTTAAGAAACAAAAGGTTCAGTTCTGGATATGGGCAATTTATTCATAACAAAATGCTTCCTTTTTGATGTTATTTGAATTGTAGCTTACTTTTTGAGGTAAAATCTACCTTGAATTATTTAAAATAGTTTTCTGACTTAAAAATTATAATAAATTTGGTGTAAAGCTCAAATTGGCTTTTGTGATTCTGAATTTATACCTCATTCTGTAAAATAAAGTGTGTCTTCTCATAAGTAGAGCAAATGAATTTTGCTTCTGGGAGATTAAAAAAAAAAAAAAAAGAGCTGAAAAAAGTAGAAATAGGGAGCCAGGTGTGGTCGTGCACACCTATAATCATAATGGCTTGAGAGGCCGAGGGAGGAGGATCACAAGTTCAAAGCCAATCTCACCAATTTATTGAGGCCCTGTCTCAAAAAAGGGTTGGAGATGTGGCTTAGCAGTTTATAACCCCTGGGTTCAGACCCTTTTACTAAAAAACAAAAACAGAAAAAAGAAAGTAAAAACAAGGAACAAAAAGCAAATTGAAGATTGATCATTGTAAAGAGTTGCTTTCCTATTATGCTGGTTAAGGTTAACTGGAATCTATCATTTTGTTTTTAAACTAACCTTCCAGGTTCAGTTTGATTACAAGGCACATGTAGTACAGGTGACTCCATTCTGGTTTGGTTTGGTGTACTGGGGCATAGTGGAAGAGGCTAGTCTGAAACAATGGCTTTCCATAAACTTTAACAGTAGTTAATGACTAAGGTAATTCTTATGTATTTCAGTCTTTTTTTAAAACATATTTTTTTTCCTTAGACATTGGAACTTGCCAGGAATCCAGCAATGATGCAGGAAATGATGAGAAACCAGGACCGAGCCTTGAGCAACCTTGAAAGTATTCCTGGGGGATATAATGCTTTGCGGCGCATGTACACGGACATTCAGGAACCTATGCTGAGTGCTGCACAAGAGCAGGTGATCCGCTGGTTCCAAGGCTTAAGCCCCAAAGTAGCTTCTAAAGCAAATATGTGTGTGATTGAGGAATGTGGGGAATGTGATTTCATTAAAAAATAGTTTCTGTATCTATTATTTAAAAGCTTATTTCCGATTTTCATGTCTTTTTTTTAAATTACAGTTTGGCGGTAATCCATTTGCTTCCTTAGTGAGCAGTACATCCTCAGGTGAAGGTAGTCAACCTTCTCGTACAGAAAATAGAGATCCCTTACCCAATCCATGGGCTCCACAGGCTTCCCAGAGCTCATCAGCTTCTAGTGGCACTACAAACACTGTGAGTGGCACTGCTGGTAGTACTACCAGTGGCACTGCTGGACAAAGTACTACTGGGCCAAATTTGGTGCCTGGAGTAGGAGGTATGTGTGTAATAATTCATGCTTTTTTCATTGTTGTCTTCACCTAAAATGGGATTATAAGTATTGCTGTATTATTTGTATGTGGATAATGTATACCTTCTATGAAGTATCTTTCAGTGTTGCAGGTTTTGTGGGGTGTTTTAGGGTGGCAGAGAAAGGATTTTTAAGTTGTATACATTTGCGGAGTACAGTATGTTTTGATATATGTATATATTGTGGAGTGATTAAATCAAGCTGATTAGCATCTGTCACTTCATAACACTTATATTTTTTCCTGTGGTGAGAATAAAGTTATTAGCAGTTTCCAAGTGTATAGTACATTGTTATTGATTATAGTCATTATGCTGTACTGTAGATCTCCAGAACTTACACAGGGAAAGATTTAAACAGAGGAATGATGAAGGAAGTACTCTTGTTACTATTTGAATTATGTATTGGAGAAACCAAAAATTAATGAAGGGGACTTGATTATGAGGTCATTCAAGTAATGCAGAGCAAATAAGATTATTACTGAGAAGGTGACCCAAAAATAAAAGGTAGAAAAACAAGCAGCTCTTTGTTTATTGTCAGAGAAGTAGGGGGAATAAAAGATAAACTACTCTTAAGTTGCTTGGCCTCGTTTAATTTCTGAAGCTGGTCTTGAACTTGCAGTCTCCTGTTTCAAGAGCCTCCTAGCTCTTGAATCATTGGGATTATAGGCTTGTGCACTGTACCAAGCAAAATGTGTATTTTAGGTGTCTGCTTCTTCATATTTCAGTGAATTTGTATAACCAGGTGCCTGCCACTGTGATTAGGACATGAAACATTTCCATCACTCCAGTAAATTTTTTTTATACCTTTTTTTCTATTTAGTTCTTTTCACCACATCGACAGCCACTGTGGATTAGGTTCCCCTGCTTGTGTCTTATTTACTTTCATATACTTGTTTTGAAATTCATCCATGTTATTTCTCTAGTTTGTTCCTTTTTGTCAAAAAGTATTCCCTTGCATGGGAATATTACAGTATGTATGACCATTTTTGCCTAGCTTCTCTCAACTTTATAAAAGATGAAGAGCAAAAAGAATTAGAATTGAAACTTGGAAAAACCTGGATGGGATAAAAGCAGTATATGGTAGGATCTTGGCAGCAGCCAAATGGAACTATTTTGTGGCCAACAGAGTGGTCTGTGGATACTTTAAAATTGGGGCATATGTTGAATCGGAGAGGGTGTCACATGATTCATATAAACTAGGGCTCCAGGATAGGCACAATTAGAGGATCTGGGTAGTATGTCCATCTTTGTCTGGGAGGAACTAGTCTTGACTCCATCCTTCGGTAATTGCTATTGTTGGGCTTCTTGTTCTTGGTGAATGTTTTGCATTATGCTTTCTTGAGTTTTGCTCTGTTCTCAAACCAAACTGCAGAACTATTAGATGTATGTCCATTTTTTAGGCCATTTCTTTCTGAAGGCTTGGGTTTAGGTGTTGGTTTATGTACAACAATGGTTCAAATCTTACAATTGTATCTCAGTGAACACAATTTGGTTCTTTTGTGAGTGCTTCTGGTACCTATAGGAAGGTCCTTGGAGTCTGACATCTGATAAGCCGTATACATTTCTATGTTCAAGCCCATTGATGACAGCAAACTTTTTTTTCTAAAGGAAGCTTTAAATATGTTATGGTCAATCATTTGTGTGCATTGTGGTAGAAAGGGCTATTGAAGATTTCCAGAGGCAGTTTTGTGTCTTCACATGCTCATAAGAGTGCTGAGAAAAGTGGATGGTAGTATCATTTCAATAGTAGATAAACTGAAGTGCAGAGGGAACACATAATTATCTGTGTTGTTATTCCTAGAGCACATTTCTTCGATTTAATCTGGTTTTGTTTTCTAGATCAATCTTTAGCAGTCTTGACAGGTACTGTACCCATATTTGGTAAAAATTAGATTTTCAGGTATTAACCTCAGACCTTGTGGGGCATATAATATTTCAGGGGTGGGAAGGTTTTAGGATCTGTGTTTTTGTAAAGGTCCTAGAGATTATGATGTATGAGTGGATAAGGGATTTACTTTTGTCCACTTTTCTATAGGTTAGACTCAATAAATGGATGCCTTTTAAAAACTATTCATATGGGCTGGGACTGTAGCTCAGTGACAGAGAACTTGCTTAGTATGCATGAGGCACTGGGTTCAATCCTCAGCACCACAGAAAAATAAATAAATAGGGGCTAGGGTTGTGGCTCAGTGGTAAAACGCTCGCCTAGCATGTGAGAGGTGCTGGGTTCCATCCTCAGTATCACATAAAATTAAATAAATAAAATGTATTGTGTCCAATTGCAACTAAAAAAAAGATATTGTGTCCATCTGCAACTAAAAATAAATAAATAAATAAAAAATAGAATAAAGGCATTCTGTCCATCTACAACTACAAGAAAATAAAAACAAAACCAACAAAACCATCCATATAGTTAAAATTCAGATGTTAGTGTTTTCCGTGAATTTGGTCTGTGATCATTAGTCACAGTGACAGGATTGGTCCTTTAGTAGCTTTGTGTTACTGTATTGTGTACCTGAGATAGATCAACTTAAAAGAAGGAAGATTTATTTTGGTTTATGGTTTCAGAGGTTTCTCTCCATGGTCACTTGGCCCATTGCTTTTGGTCCTGTGGAGAGGTAGTACATTATGACAGGAAGGAGTGACAAAGGAAGCTGATCACTCTGTGGTAGCTGGAGAGCAAAAGAAGAAAGAAAGAGTAGGGACTAGGGTCTAATGTCCCCTTCAAGTGCACACCCTCAGTGATCTTTCCTCTGGCCTCACCTTTTAAAGTTTTTGCCACCTCTCCTAGCACCATAGGCTGGGAACTAATCCTCTAAGACATAGGCTTTTGGGGGTACTTCTCTTAACTGTATACTTGGCATATAAATAGAAGAAATGGAAGTATAGTAACACTTCCCTTCTATGAGCAGACCTAGATATATTTTAAAAAATACTTTTGTTTTGGCAGAGGAAGTGGAAAAATGATATTCTAGGTGAGGAACATTTTAAAAACTCATTGCTGAGGGAAGAATCAGAATGAGGAGAGTAATTGATGATCACAGTGGTATATGTTCTTTTATAGAACCCAGTGGATATCCTGAGGTTTCTGGATAATAGTATAGGTTTTATAAAAATTGAAGTACAACTTTGTGTGTGTGTGTGTGTGTGTGTGTGTTGATCATGGGATTGAACCAGGGATGCTGAGCTATATCCTCATCCCTTATTTTGAGTCTGGTTTCACTAAGTTGCCAGGCCTCAAATTAGCTATCCTCCTGCCTCAGCCTCCCAAATACCTGGGATTACAGGCATGAGCCACTGTGTCTGGCTTTAAGTAATACCATTTTTATTTTTTAAAATTTCTTTTTAGTTATTGATAGACCTTATGTATTTACTTATCTACCTATCTACCTATTTATTTATTTATATGTGGTGTTGAGAATTGAACCCAGTGCCTCACACATGCCAGACAAATGCTCTATCACTGAGCCGCAACTCTAGCCCAGTAACCTTTTTTAAATCAAGAAAAAGAAAGAATCCTGTATTCTGCTTACTTATTTAATTCTTATTAACAGTTCTTTTGAGAGAGATGCTTTGTTCCTACTTTAAATGCTATATAGAACAGACAGAACAAAGATTTAATCAAATATCCTAACCAGTAGGCTGTTGGAGTTTTTAATAGCAGGGTTTTGACATACAAAAAATCAGTTTTGCAACTTTTACTGAGGTTTTTAATTTAATGACTTAGTGCTCTAACATTTTATGTTGGTGCTCCCATCAAATTAAAATAAATAAGAAAAATGAGTTTATTCTGCCAGCCTGTCCAGTTGTCAGCATGTAGATCACTATTATGATTCTAACTCAACTCTTTAAATTTTGACATGTGTATTATATGTATGAATACATATTATGCATGTAACAGTCAAAATTCTTGACTCTTTTTCCTATAAAAATTTAATAATGTAGAAAGTGAAGAACTAGCAAACTTTTCATGTAAAGGCTCAGATAATACTTGAGGTTTTGCATGCCAAGAGGCAAAAATTAAGACTATTACATCATGGAAGAACAAAATTCCACAGATTTTTTTTTATTGGTGCAAATAAAAATATAGAAATAATTAAGTACAGTGTTTTTCTCATACATATCTCCTAATGAGAGGAATGAACTTTTAGAGGATACCATTTTGTTTAATTGGGGTTCACAATGTTATTTTTTTTTTTAACCCAAAATTGTAAATGTTCACCAGTTAATACTGACAGGTAATGAGACTTTTATTTTCATTTAAAATATGTATTTATTTCAAAATTATAGTTTTAACAGCATATTTATCAGTTGGAAAAGGCATGTATAGAATTTTGCTAGATTCTTTGGCTTTAGCATGCCATTGCATTGTAGATTAATCACTTCAAATTTAAAGTAGTATTTCCTCAATCACACAGTTCAGTGAATTTTAAAATGTGAAAGTTCCTTTACACTTGGGTTGGAGCTGAAAGTGCTACTGGTAATATGAACTCAAAAATAAATCTGCAAATTTGTGGGAAGGGAGATCTTGTTGCAGTTTTTTTAATATACTTTTAATTAGTTTATTTTTTAATGTGGTGCTGAGAATCAAACCCAGCGCCTCACGCATGCTAGGCAAGCGCTTTACCTCTGAGCCACAACCCCACCTCCTTGTTGCAGATTTTGATAGCACAAAAAACAAAACAAAAACACCAGTTTGACTTTCCTTGTGATTCAAACAGTTTTAGGTGTCAGAATGACTTGACTGCAGTGTGAGTTTCACATGTAAATGATAAATTACCAATTCTCTAGAAAAAAACTAATTTTTAAAGTTTCTAAATGTTTAATGATGTTGGTTTTGTTGTGGTTCTCATTTAGAAAAATTTTAATCTGAGTCATGAAACTTTATCTCTGTGAAGCCACTGTATTTGGGCATGTCAGGATATTGAACTATTTCTAATAAAAATTTATGGGATTGACTATTAAGTTTATAGGAGTAAATAATGTTCATCATGGATACTCCATCTAGTTCAATAACATCACAGACTAAAATATTTTGCAGATTGTCTGCTGATGAATAAAATAATGCATAACCATAGTTTTAACTACCTTGTTATTTTTATAAGCTTTGTAGATTGATCCAACTCAAACCTTACATGTATTTTTATCACCATCTTATATAATACATCTACTTCAGGTTGTTCCAAAGTGCTAATATTTTCTCAGCTTTGAAAATAGTCTCACTTCAATTGTTCCATGCAGATTTTTTTATATGAAACCAAATTTTCAGTCACTTCAAACTTGGCATTGACTTCTCAAGTACAATAGATCTAAGTAGTATCAGTAACATCTGTTGACTCATCAGTAACCATGGAATATCACTCGGAATCATTTATGTTGTTTTAAATTGCATATTGTTGTTGTGCTCAATGTCTTTAACTCTTTGAGAAAAGACTGTTCTCCCAGAAGGTTAGTAGACTTAAGATTTATTTGGCTGCTACAATTAAAATTTAATTAAGTTTGCTAATTAATCACTGTTGGTAGATGACTTTCCTTAATAGGCCAATAAATAAGCCACTTGGAAACTTATCTCTGGTTCCAGCCTTATTTTCATGAGGAAATTAAGCTGTGATAAGATATTTAAATTTTGATATTTTTCCTCACCATTGCTTTCTTGTGAGTAGGGAATATTGTGATTAGTGCTTAGTGTGGCAATCTCTGTGTATGTTGTAGTCTTCAGTGTCATTTCATAATAAACACAGTGTTTTGCCATCTCATTTGTAGTCCACCCCCCCGCACCCCGCTTATTTTCTTTTGATATGATTGGTATGCCCTGGTAATAAAAAAAAAAAAAAATGCTACAGCAATTTCATGTGACATGAATTATAACTGACTGACTCTTGTTTGTGGCACACTGAACAGCAATATGAAGCAGTGATAGTGCTATACTCTGTTGCAAGTATTCCAACTCTGCTTTTGTAGTACAAAAGTGTGCCCATAGATAATAAACAAGTCAGCATGACTGTTCCAATAAAATAGGATTTACAGACACTAAAATTTGAATTTCAGATACTTTTCACATGTCACAAAATATTTATATTCATTAGATTTCCCCCCTCCCCAATCATTTGAAAATGTAAAAACAATTTTTACCTTATGGGCTATACAAAAATAGGTTGTGTGCCAAATTTGCTGTGCAGGCTGTAGTTTGCCAACCTTAGAATACTTCTTGGATTCCAGGATATGGAAAAACTAAATTGATGCTTCCAACTTGAGAAAATAGGAAAAACAAATTATTATAAACAGTATTATATAAACTAGAATGTCAAATGGAAGAGTCAAGTGTATTATGCCTGATAAAAGTACATTAGGTGGAATAACGGAAAATGACAAAGCTAATGAGTTAACATAATAAGTTTTAGAATATTGGGTGATAAACTGTTAAATCACTCGGGGGAAATTCTCAGGGAGTTAGAAATAAAACACAGACACACAGTGTACCTTTAAACCAAGCTCCGGGATGGCTCCTCTGCCCTCTATCTCAGGCTCCCTAAGCTAGGAAGCGAGGATCTACAATAGAGGCTAGCAAGAGCTAGAGAGCACACTTTGGAGTGGGCTTTTATTGGGGAACTCTATAAATTCTGGGGAAAATCCTGTCCAATGAAGGTCAAGGGGGGCGGGGTTGCAAAGACAGGTGAGGTCCCTGGGGTTGTGGAGAGGCACTCCTCTACACGAAGACACTGTTACTGGAACCCTAGGCAGTCTAGCAGCATGGCTGCTGCCTGATGCCTCATCACCCAGCAGGGGGAGTTAACTCAGTTGGGGTAAGGTTGGTCTCCCACAAATATCTTTGAGTTTGAGTGTATATAGTCAGCAATTGAAAGTCAGGGGTGGGGTACAAGTTAAACAAATTAATTAGTTTTCAAAGAAAAATTGCCTAAATAGTAGAGTTATCACATTGAATTCTCAGAAATTCAACTGTAGCTCTCAGTCAAAAAGAGAAGAAAAGTAAGAATAATTATAACAAGCATTTTATACATTAACTAATTTGTCACAACCACCCTATAAAGTAAACAATATTTTCTCTATTTTACAGATGGGGAAACAGAAATATGAAGAAGTTACTGTCCAAGATTGCATAGTAGTTAGGTTGGATTTGAATCTAGATAATCTGGCTTGAAATAACTGCTCTTTAGTTACTGGCTCAAATAACATCTCTTAAATGTTAAATATGCCTGCTGTTTCACTCAGTGAAATGTGCCACTTCCCAAAGAAAATGGGATTGAGGCTTCTTTTTTCAATGTATGAGCACATTGAGTGCCTAATAGGATTCTTAATTAAGTGATCTTCTGCAATCCTGGAGGGAAACTTAATCCAGACTTTTTAACTTATGGTAGTTTTCAACAGTAATTTGACCATATCTAATTTTTGCCTGAAATTGACTTTAGAAGCTAAAGTCTTAGATAAGGAATTTATTATAAATGCAACCAGAATCTTAAAATCACAAGTCCTCTTTTACTGGTATATGTTGGTCATGTATTTTTGGAAATCTTAGTTTTAAAATTCTTTCTTAGTTTAGTAGGTACATAGTAGTCCCCACTTACCTGAGAGGCATACATTGCAAGACTCCCAGTAGATACCTAAAACTGCAGAGTACCAGTTCCTATGTGCTGTTTTTTCCCCCTAAAACATATGTACACAAATTTAATGCCTTTCCCATCTACTAAGCACTTAACATGAACTGTGACCATAATTTTTGCAGTCAAAACTTCTGTATTCTGAGGGGCAACAGCAAAACTGGCCTGAATTACTTTTTCCTTTACAATTTTACAGGATTTGTTTCTTACTGTAAATCTTAGTAGCCTCATCATATTTTTTTTCTCCTTTTAATAAGCTTTCACCTTTTCATTTAAAGGAAACATACTTAATGGCATCTCTGAATTTCCAGCAACACAACTCTTGTGCTTTGAAATCATTATTGAGAAAAGGTTACTTTGAACACACAAGCATTGCAGTACTTCGATGTTTAGCTACTAAGTGACAAAGTGGATGGGTAACAGATACAATATGGAAGTACTTGACAAAAAGGGGTGGAGCAGGACAGCATGAGATTTCATCATGATAACTTAAAACAGTTTGCAGCTTAAAACTTATGTGTTGTTTATTTCTGAAATTTTCCACTTAATGTTTTGGATCTGTGTAAAGTGAATCTGTTGTTAAGGGAGAACTCCTGTGTACAGCTGCAGTCGCTAAAATTTAAGCACAGGTTATAGTATATTTTAATGCTTTAATTTTGTTTACGTAAGTTTTTCTTAATAAAATGTCTTTTTTTTTTTTTTTTTTAAAAAAAACCTTCAGCTAGTATGTTCAACACACCAGGAATGCAGAGCTTATTGCAACAAATAACTGAAAACCCACAGCTTATGCAAAACATGTTGTCTGCTCCCTACATGAGAAGTATGATGCAGTCACTAAGCCAGAATCCAGATCTTGCTGCTCAGGTGAGTTTTTAAATTGTATTAAAAATAACTTCAGGGTAAACTAAAGTAACTTAATCCAGTACTTTTGATTTTGGCATATTTGTGTTGTGTGTGCTAGCTTATTAACACATTAGAAATGTAGGTAAACTCCAACTTTTTGGATAGTTTTGTTTTTTTGTGTGCTAAATTAATATTTCATATAATTGAAACAGTTTCATCTCTGCCTCATTGACTAGAAAGTCTGCCATTCATTCACCAGAAAGATGTGCAGGCTTACTTTATGTATGTTGAGTTAGGAAATGAGTAGAAAATGTTTTGGATTTACCCTCTCAAAGGTATACTCTTCTGTGAAATGTGAACCTTTTAAAAGCTATTAAGAATAGTATCAATACAGTTGAAAGACTTTTATGTATTAGACTGCCCAGATTGAAATAGCCATGCTAAACATTGCACTTGTGGAACAACTAAAATCTTTTATTAAAAGCAGAAAGGAATTAATGAGAACGCTGTCCCCCACATCTCCTAAATTGGTACACAGGTCTTCTATTGAATTATTTGTTTTCCAGAAGAGACCAAAATTAAGAAAAATAGTGGATCTCAACACTGGCTAAACTATTCAGGATCATTTGGATCATCAGTTCTTCTTTAAAAAAAAAAAAAATTCTGATGCTAATCTTGGTATTCTCTAATGGATTTACATCTTTCAGGTCTTAAAGAAGAACAGGATCAGTTCTTCTTTTTAAAAAATGCTGATGCTTCAATTCCCATCCTTAGAAATTTTGACAAGAATTAGATTGCATCTTTCCTCCTCCTTTTTTTAACCTTCTTGAGTCCTCTGTTTGTGATATACTGCCAGATTTGGCAACACTGAACCATGAAGAATGTGAAATGAGCCTTGCTTATCTGTAATTTATGTTTGCTGTTTATTAAAAATGCCCATTTTTTTTTTACATTCTTACTATCATGTATATCTAAAAAGGACAAATTAAAAAAAAAAAAAAAGGCTTTTGTAACCAGATATGGTGGTACATGCCTGTAATCCCAGAACTTGGGAGACTGAGGCAGGAGGATCACAAGTTCATGCCTGACCTGGGCAACATAGTGAAATCCTGCCTCAAAATAAAAAATGAAAAAGGCTGTAACTCAGTTATAGAGCACCTCAGGGTTCAATCCCCAGTAACAAAAAAGAAAGGTGAGGGCAGGCGGGGTGGGGGGGACACTTTTATAGAATCCTAGGAATTTTAAACACTTTTCTTTATTTTAATTTTAAAAAACTTTTTTATCTCTTAATTTTAAACTCTAGATCTCTATTAATAGGAGTATATAGTATATGTCTTGGCAGTATAATACATTCTGCCATTAAAAATTTTGTGTAATTGGAAATATAGACCAATTTTTAAAGAATTTTTATTTTAAAAAATTTGCATACAAATGGCTAATGAACAACACTGGATGTGCATCTTGTTTTTGGAATTTGACCTTAAAAAGCACATTCCTAGCTGTTATAACCATAATTTTGTATTTATAAAGGACTTGAGTACTTTGATATACTGTTTTACTCTAAAGTAAATGTTGACAAAGAATAGCTAGGAATGGATGCCTTTACTATAGACAATTGAGAAATGTTTACAATGCACTCTGGTTTATCAGAAGATTAGCATTTGTAGTTTCTATATTCACTTTTGATTTTTTTAAATATTCAAAAAGTACTAACTGTGATATAAAGTCAGGTAAATTAGGAGAAATTTCCTAATAAAATGAAACGATTTTCTGAGAAAGAGTTAAAATGGCATGCTTTTTTTCTAGATTAGTTTAGATGACATAAATCTCAAAAAGTAAATGTGGTAATCTCATTAATATGTTCATAATAAAGAAGTATCTGACTGAAGCAATAAAGAAGCAGGTTTGTTGACCTCAAGTAGGTATTATTTTATTTTCTGTGAACTTATTGATCACCTTGAAATGAATACTTTATGTCCATAAATCATTGTCAGATTCCTTCATTGATTGTGTTGAAATTAAATGATCCATTTTGCAACAATGGAAGAATTAGAAGAGGGAGGGGAATTCTCTTTACTTCTATCATTTACATGTAATTGCTCTTCGATATGGTTAGCTATACTAGAGAAAAAGGATCATTTCCTCCCTAGATTTTGGACAGATAAATAGACTATCAGTAAATCATTGTTAGTTGACGTCACACTTTATACAAAATGATGTAAAATTTGTCTTTTTCAAAACTATATTAATTTATTAGTTCCTGCTTTTGCTGTTAGTGAATTGTAATATTAAGTTTCAAGTATCCCACATCATGTTAATATTGGCCCTGACTTAAAATTCTTAACCTCTGTTGAAGGTTAGGAGATAATGCCACTTTTATTTTCTCTGGTGGTAGTGAGGTAAAATCCAGATACTAATCTTGGTGTTCTCTAATGGATTTACATCTTTCAGGTCTTAAAGCATTTTAACAGTTTTCCCAGAGGACTGTTGGTGCTAGTTTTGGCTGATTTTCACCTAGCAGCTCCATTTCTCTGGCAAGTTGGTTGCTGTTTTGTGGTGTTATTTTTCCAGACATAATATTAACTGTTTTGTAGTAGACAGGTAGAAATAGCGATTCCAGATCTGGATTTTTCTCTGTGCTTAACCACTTGTGCATCGCGGTTTCTAAGCAAGCCATGTATAGTATTGATGTTTATGTTTATTCTGTCAGTGTAGCAGAAAATGTATCCTCATGACAGCCAGTTACTCCCATTTTTCTTTCTGAAGCAAAAATTCACCTTTTCTTAAGGAAAAGCCTAAGAAAATGATTGCTTATAGTTTTTAGAACACTGCATGTCATTATAATAACCACCATTCTTATTGAGAGAGATGATGCTGTGTCCCCTTCTCCCTCAGGTCCTTGTTGTGGACAGTATTTTCCCTTCTTTTTATTTATGTTCTATCTTCCTCTCTTTTAAATGCCAGCTTAGGCACTTAGGGGAAGATAGAATATTAAACAAGGTACATTACTTGTTTCAGATATTTCCAGTTAAAATTGTTTGAACACTTGCCCCATAGATGATGCTGAATAATCCCCTATTTGCTGGAAATCCTCAGCTTCAAGAGCAAATGAGACAACAACTCCCAACTTTCCTCCAACAAGTGAGTAAGAAAAGATGCTAGCTATCTTTGGTAATGATTTGCTTGAAAAAGTTTGTTGATGAACATTTTCCTTGCTCTTCTTTGGCTGATAGCAAAATATAGAATAGAATATGATAATCCTGCCAATTCGTAGAGAATTCAGCTTGATCCTACCTGAGCCCCATTTTACTGCTGACCTTTTGCTTATGTTTCTTTAATGTTAATTCTGAGGAAAGAGCTACTTTTTTTTCCCCTTTGCTTTCGAGGATTTAGGATTTTGAATGCTTTGTTAATACCATAAATAATTTCCTTTCACTTTACTAACTTTGAAGTGCTGCTCTGTGTCATATGATATACTTTATGGTTTTAATCTCAAGTCACAGGAAAAGCTACCCTATTCTGTTGTATAAATTGGATTCTTTGTAATGTTTAATTTCTTGTAAATTAGTAGAAAGCCTGTTTTCTAAGGGCTAAATCTCATTTCCTCAAACCTGGAATTTTGTAAAATTAAAATTGTAAGTGTTGTCATATAAGGAAGATTTTATTATTAAAAAAGTACTGAGATTGCCATGGTATTTTATTATTTAAAAAGATAATTGAAAAGTCAGTTTTGGTGTTTTGATACTGGTAGTTAGTTCTAGGGCTTTATTTATTATGAAAATGATTCTCAGGCCTGTCATTCCTTAGCTGAGGTTAGTTAGTGTTCTTGATCTATTGTAATGATGTAAGCCTATTTTTTGGTCAGGTGGTGAATATCTGAAGGTGGAAAAGCTGAATTCAGGACACAAGTATTAACTTGAGTTTTGGAATTATTGTTTTAGAGTGTACATTATTGGTAAATTGTTACATTAGCAACAGATACCACTTGATCAGGTGGAATAAGTGGCTTTCACCATATTACCTTGTTGTGCATTTGGAGGCCCTCTTAGAAATAATAAATTTTTCTTCTGTTGGAGAAGGGGAATAGTTGTGGCTTCAGAGTCACTCCTGATTGTCTTCCATTATGCAAATGTCTTTCATGATGAACTTGGGAGGAAGTCAAATAATGATTTGCATACTAGATTTGCTGTCAAAGAGGAGGACTTGTGTTTTGTTTGGGGGAAAGAAATTATGTATTATCATATTCTGGGAGTAAGGTTTTAGATTTTTCTCAAGAAACACAGGAGAGGAAAGATGTGAAAATTACCGACACTGATATTAATTCCCTTGTAACCACTGATTTTCTTTCATTGTTCCTTAGATGCAGAATCCTGATACTCTATCAGCAATGTCAAACCCCAGAGCAATGCAGGCCTTGTTACAGATTCAGCAGGGTTTACAAACATTAGCAACGGAAGCCCCCGGCCTCATCCCAGGGTAAGCTTATTTGGGGAACGTTATGAAAGTGCATAATGGTTGTTTTCTCTCAAAATTTCACATTTAATGTCATTTCTGATATTTTTGAGTGAGATTATTTTTAGTGAAAACTTTCAAGTTATAAATGCTTATTTTTAAGAAGGCAACTAATAATATGTTAAAAAGTGTGTGAGTCACTACCTGTTCTAGAGTCTAGTTTTACAAGTCCTTAGATTTGTAATGAATTTGTGCTTTCTCTAGGTTTACTCCTAGCCTGGGGGCTTTAGGAAACACTGGAGGCTCTTCAGGAACTAATGGGTCTAGTACTACACCTAGTGAAAACACAAGCCCCACATCAGGAACCACTGAACCTGGACATCAGCAATTTATTCAACAAATGCTGCAGGCTCTTGCTGGAGTAAATCCTCAGGTAACAGTTTCTTTTTCTTCAAGTTTTGCCTTCTTTAATATTAGAAATTTAGGAATTTCTAAAAATAAAAAGGAGGAAAAAAGTAGCTCTTTAGTATTTTGACTAATGAAGAACACAATTTTAAGAATCTTGAATCTAAAATTAAGCATTATAGAAATTGTCAACTTTAGTGCTGTATCATTTGCTAAAGGAAGCATTGTTAATTCTTGGGAAGAATGTTTTAATCCAGTGCCTTATTTGTTTTACAAAATTTTGTCAGGAGGAATAGAAGCTTAATTATCCTCAGAACCCCCTGGATAGTTGTAGTGTAGTCTTTATTTTTACTTGGAAAAAGCCTGTCTCAATCCTATACCATAACATCACCTCCTGTGTAACTTATGAACTTGAGTTACACATGAACATGAATACCCTACCTCTCAGAAATGTTGTTATATCTGTAAACATTGGCTTTACCAAGAATGCGCCATTAGACAAAGATGATTGCCAGTTCAAATCTATTTTGATAGGTTGCCTCCATACTTCAGCATGGAAAAAAGTGTCTCAAGATCTGTTAGATGCAGGAGCTGGGGTTGTGGCTCAAGTGGTAGAGTGCTCAACTAGTACATGTGAGGCACTGAGTTCGATCCTCAGCACCCCATAAAAAATAAAATATATCCACCTAAAACTAAAAAAATAATTTTTTTTTTAAAAAAAGTTCTGTTAGATGCTAATTTCAAGCCTTGATAAACAAAGGAGGATGTTGTTATCTTGTGTGTGTGTGTTTGTGTGTGTGTGTGTGTGTTTTGGTACTAGTGATTGAAACCAGCGGTGCTTAACCACTTAGAAACATCCGCAGCCTTTTATTAATTTTTTTATTTTGAGACAGGGTCTTGTTAAGTTCCTTAGGACCTCGCTAAGTTGCTGAGACTGGCTTTGAATTTAACCTTTGTCTTGCCTCAGCCTTCCGAGCTGCTGAGATTACAGGCATGTATCGCCGCACCCAGCTCATGTTTGTATTCTTGATACCTTGCATAGCTTCTAGCTTATGGTGGTTACTCATAAGTGTACATTGAATTAATACAAACAAAAGATTTGGTTATTGGACAGAATTAATCTTTATATCAGTTGGGCAGTCTCTCCATTACCAGGTAGACTAGGATTGTTTGGATATTTATGTTTTTTCTTTTAGTTCATTTCTAAAAGATTTGATGTGGCTGAATTGTCAGCATTAGGAATATAGTTTATGAACTTAAAAGTTTCGGAATTGGCTAGTAAAGTAATTGGATCTCAGCCTTATTGGAACTTCAGGTTTTTATACATGAGAATACTGGTTTATAAAGTTACTCAGGTAGTAAGTAGCCACATAATCTAGTTCTAAACTATTTGCTTTTATGTTTTTTCCATCCCCCATGAGCCTGTAAAATAATGGTTGAAGTTTATTATAATGCTGCTGCTTTTTATTGTTTTGTTGTTTTGGGGTGGTGCTGGGGATTGAGCCCAGGGCCTTTTGCCTGCTAGGCATACACCTATGTGCTGAACTACATTCTTAGCCTGTAGGACTTCAATTTTTTAAAGGGAAAATTGCACGATCTATTTGAAAAGATTAAGTGTAAACTTAGAGTAAAATAAAGTGCGAATTTTAAATATGTTGAATGTTGGATAATGAGTTCTTTTAAATTGGTGCATCCCAGTTATACAGAATGGTGGGTTTCATTGTGCATATTTGCATGTACATAAAAAACACAATTTGATCAATTTTACCCCCTCCTACTCCTTTCCCTTTACTCTAATGGTCGCATACTTTCATGGCATCTCTTTTTTTCCCTCTCTAACTTCCACACATGAGGGAGAACATACGATACTTTTCTCTTTGACTTTGGTCTCCAGTTGATCCATTTTCCTGCAGAAAACTTCACATATACCATATTTTCTTTACCTATCCATTCGTCTCTTAACAGACACCTGGGCTGAGTCTATAATTTGGCTATTATGAATTGTGTTGCTTTAACCATGGGTATGCAGGTATCCCCTAAGTATGCTGACTTTAGTTCCTTTTATAGCTGGATCTCATATGGTTAGTTCTTTTTTTTTTTTTAGTTTTTTTGAGGAGCCTCCACACTCATTATCATAGTGGTTGTATTATTTATATAACAAATTCCCACCAACAGTGGTATAAGTGTTTTCTTTTCCCTCCTGTTCCTTCTAGCACTTATTGTTATTTGCGTTCTTGATGATTGGCTAGGCAGGTGCTTATAAAGTGCAGTAGATCAGCATATGTTTTAAAAAAGCAGTTAAAGCATGTAAAGTTATTTAGGTGTGACATGGATTGGTTTCCCTTTGAGTAAGCTTGCTTATTTATTTATTTATTTATTTATTAACAGCTACAGAATCCAGAAGTCAGATTTCAGCAACAACTGGAACAACTCAGTGCAATGGGATTTTTGAACCGTGAAGCAAACTTGCAAGCACTTATAGCAACAGGAGGTGATATCAATGCAGCTATTGAAAGGTTACTGGGTTCTCAGCCATCATAGCAGCATTTCTGTATCTTGAAAAAATGTAATTTATTTTTGATAACGGCTCTTAAATCTTTAAAATACCTGCTTTATTTCATTTTGACTCTTGGAATTCTGTGTTGTTATAAACAAACCCAATATGATGCATTTTAAGGTGGAGTGCGGTAAGATGTGTGGGTATTTCTGTGTTTTTCTTTTTTGGAACAGTGGGAATCAATGCTTTTTCATTTAAGGCTACTGCATGCATCAAACACTTCTGCCTTTATTGTAATTTTTTAAAAACATCACCTTTTATAGTTGGGTGAACAGATTTTGTCCTGCATCTGTCCATTTTATTTGCTTTTTAAACATTAGCCTATGGTAGTAATTTATGTAGAATAAAAGCATTAAAAAGAAGCAAATCATTTGCGCTCTATAATTTGTGGTACAGTATTGCTTATTGTGACTTTGGCATGTATTTTTGCAAACAAAATGCTGTAAGATTTATACTACTGACAATTTTTGCTTTATTTGAATACTGTATGCACATTTGGGACTGCATTTCTAGAAACATACTGTGTTAGGTTATCTAAGCAGAATACCTATAACCAAAAAAGTAAAAATAAGGAAATACTTTTAAAGCTTAGTGTTTCCTAGTTGTATAGAATCTTACAGCATCTTTGATGAACATCTCAGCAAAAGTGCCAGTTAGTCAGGTTTGTTAAAAATATGGTAGAAAAGCTGATTCTGGTTATCTGTTTAGGGACATTTAATTGTACAGACAGCATAATGTAACATTGTCTCAACATTCACAGATTGACTGTAAATTACCTTAATCTTTGTGCAAACTGAAGGAACACCTTAGTATACCCCAAGATGCATTTGCCTAGGTCTTTACAGCTTCTCCCATAGTAGTTTAACAGGCATTACAATTTGTAATTGAAATGTTGCTTTCACTGAAAGTGTTGATGTTTCAGTTACTTTTAATTGCCATATAAAAATAGAAGAATCTTCTGGGTTTATCAGTTTTTTTTTTTTTCACGCACAGGCAATACATGAATTTAAAATGATTTGTTAGCCACTTGTTTCTGAAGTGTTTGGATAGTTCTATTAAGAAATAGTTAAATATTGTGCTTTTCAGAGACTCAGAGAAGGGAATGGGGGAGGGGGGCGAGACGGAATCTATCCTGAATTGGGCCAGCCTAAACTAAATAATACTGGCAATCAAGATTCTGTTAGGATTTCTGTGCATATAGTGTAGTCACGAAGTCTTATTTGGGGTGAAAAAGAGCCGTTTTAACAATGTTGAGTACATTTGGCTGTTCTACAGCCTTTTTCTTCCCTCCCCAAAGAAGTTCTCTTTGCCTAACTCTCAAATTGTTGGGGTGGTACATTCCTTTAGGACCAATTAAAACATAACTTTTAGAGGGTCAGTAATATATTTGGCTGACTCTGGTTCAGTATTCTCTTAGGTCGTTATTTCTCTCATGTACAGTTTCAGGAAATTAAAATGTTAAAATAACCTAAAATGAGTTCAGACCAATAAAATCAAGGGAAATACAAGATGAATTCCATTATTTCTGTAAGTTGCTTGCTATTAAAAAGCCAAGAGGCCAGGTTGCCCACCAGTCCATGCACTGTTCTGACACTTTCCCCAGGAGGAAAACATGTACAGAGGTCAGGGTGGAGGCATAACCACAGGAGATTAAGAATGTTCATGTGTCTTTACTCTTTCTGCCTTATGCCTCAGTCTGGTTTAAAGACTTTTGTATTGGTGAATGGCAGTATACAGTGTGGGACAGTGTCATAACTAATTTGATGATTTATTAATCACAAAATAACAATAAATCTCTAGCTTTTACACTTTGGTTTGTCTTGCCTCTTTTGTAGAAAGATAAAGATGTCTTCTCTCTGTCTTTTAAAAGCTTTTGAAGTAGGTTCACCCCAAATTTTGTCACACTTTACTCATTTTAGTAATTTTTCAAGCTTTCCCAATGTTGTATACACTATGTTATGGTGTGTTAAAATTTGCAGCTTACTGGGAAGGGATGTGACTTGGGCTCTGCTCTTTTTTGGTTCTGGCTAGTTAATTTGACTTTGAGTAAGATTTCATGATTTCTTTTATAAGTCTTTCATGATTTCTTTTATAATTCTTTAAGATCTTAAAGTACCTTTAAGCTGTTGCAGAGGCATGAGTTTTTATTTGTTTCTGATATGTTTACCTTAGATCTAAATATCTGTTAAATGGTCAAAATCCCACTTAATGATGGTGTGAAAGCCATCCATATTAAGTAGAAACTGTACTTCACATTTTGAATTTTGATATTTCCCGAGGTTAGCAATATGTGATATGATACTCATTTGGGATGTTGGGGAGGCAGCAGCAGCAGCAGCAAGCCATACCTCCAAGTCAGCCACTTAAACATGAGGGTAAAAGACTGATTCTCCAAGTATACCATGTTGCTAAGCTGTGATGTTTGGTAGGTAAGGTGTTTTAAATGCATTTTCAGCTTAATGGTATTTTCCACTTATGATAGGTTTATCAGGAAGTGAACATATTCTAAGTTGAGCATGTTTGAAATTCTTCAAAACACAAAACAGACATTTAAAATACAGTAGGCTTAAATTGTTCTCATTGAGTTATTTAGTACAAATTGAATAAAGAATGGTCTAGTAAAAGTAACATTTCAGGATTTTATTTCCCAAGTGGAACCTTTATGATATATCTTAAAGTTAGCAAATATTGAACAATCATAAATCACTGCTGGCCTGTGTGTATTCAGATTCTTAGATTTCAAACTTGGTTTAACTATAGTGGTAAAAGGGGTTTTTGGATTTGGAAAGACATTATTACTATGCAAATAGGTAAATCAGTGACAAAATATAACAGAATAGATAACAATTAGTGACAAAAGTGAAACTAGACATATTTAACCAAAAAAGATGATGTGGTTAAGGCAAGGAAATCCTGTATGTTGTACTTTCTCTCAGAGGTTAATGTTATACTTGTTAAAAACCAGAAATCCTGCAGTAAAGAAGTCTGTTTGAAAGTGGTTACTCCAGCCTTTTCAAATCTTTATTTGACCACTTTTCAAGGGAATGCCATATTCAATGACACTCTGTGGGGGAAACTACACTTAGAAATCATCCCTTCTCTGGTATTGCACATGATATTCAGCTATTTTCCTGGGCTTATATATGGCTTGCCATTCTTTCTGGGCTCAGTTCTGCAGTCTTTTTAAACTGTGCTAATCCAGTGATTTATTTATTCTGAACCACTTTAAATGGATGTGTTTTCTCATTCTCACCTCACAGTGCTTTGTTCTATTTTGGTTTTCACTTTTCTGCTCTGAAATTGTCAGTTAAGTAACATCAAATGTCCTTCTCAACTTCTCTATTATCTTTTCTCATAAGCATCCATTACCTCAGAAAGTTGTCATTTTTATTGAACATCTATTACATTCTTTCCAGTTTCAGTAACTATAACAAAGTTCTGTTCCACATGGGCCTCACATAATAGGAAGTGGAGAGTTTGACAATAAACAACACATATATTGCCTGCCAGGGCTAATAATAGATAATTTAGTGAAAAATTCAGCATAGTAAGGAAGCTAGGTCAGGAAGGGGGTTGGTGGTTATTCTTACAAAATAGAGAAAGCTACATTAAGAAGGTGATATTTAGCCAGGCATGGTAGTAAATGCCTATAATCCAGAGGCTCAGGAGGCTGAGGCAAGAGGATTGCAGGTTCAAAGCCAGCCTCAGCAAAAGCAAGGCACTAAGCAACTCAGTGAGACCCTGTCTCTAAATAAAATACAGCTTCATGTGCTATGACAAGGGGTTTAAAGTGGTGGGGAAAAGTTAGAGTGGACTGAGGAGATAGTGAAGGTCATAGAAATTGCAGTAGTTGTAGGGAGAGGCATGTGTTGGTAGTGTGCAAGTTTGCCTTCTTTCCGGTGGGGAAATCCATCATGTTTGTATTCTGTTGGGAGTTCATGATCATTCACAGAAAGGGTTGAGGGAAGCAGTCTTAATGTAACTGTTTTCTACCAAAAATCACAGAGAGACAGGAGGAGTTGTTCATTTTTGATTCACAGAATAGTTTTTTTTTTAAATTTTAAGTTTTTGAGTAAAAATCACCTGAGTACATAGGCTAAGGTGTGTGAGAGTGAGTTTCTGGTTCTTTCCAGTAGTCATTTTCTCAGCTGGGGCTACCTTTCATTGTCAGGAAAAAGTGGTTTTTGTGTATCCCATTTGAACTGTTCTTTGTGAGTAACATCTTTTGCAGTAGAGGAGAAACACCCCCTTTCTAACATTTCTGTTTTAGTGAAATTGAGTAGAATGAAATTGAGATTTCCTATAGAACTAGGACAGTGGTGTAGCACATCCTCAGTTTGTTATCCTACTCTATACATGTTAATGTTTGTTTTTCTAACTTCTAATTATAACATGACTGGTCGAGACTCACAGCCCACTCTTGTCTTGCTTTACTCTGTCCTTAGAGTAGTGATAGGCATGGATAGGGCCACTAATTTTCCTTCAGAAATCCAAGGGTCAGTGTGGAGCCAGATTCTTTAATGGGCATATAATCATCAATTGTGCATTCGGTCTAGATTTTTAAATTTGTTCTTTTTAATTATTCATCATAGTACAATCTATTTTGATATGTTTATATAAACATGGAATATATTTTATACTAATTAGGATCCCAGTCTTGTGGATGTACACGATGTTGAGATTCATTGTGGTGTATTCATATATGTACATAGGAAAGTCAAGGTCAGATTCTTTCACAGACTAGATTTTTTTTTTTTTAAAAGAAAAGTCATTCAGACATATTCTTCACTCCTTTACACTTGCCAGAGAGGGGAGGGAATTTCTGCTGTTGAGTATTATCTAATGCTTTAAAACCAAATACTCCATAAGTTGTGGCTTAGGAGCAAGTCAGCCTCCCCATCCGCCAATACTGTGGAGTGAACCCAGGACCATACACATACTAGACAAGTGCTCTATCCACTGAGCTACATCCCCATCTCATTTTGTTTGTGAATGAGCATTTTTAGTAGGATTTGATGAATATAGATATAGTGATTTTCCCGGATATGGAGAATTTACATGGAAGAGGGGTTATTCACATGGCTTTACAAGCATGTTTTCATCCGGGAGTGTACTCAGGATCTAAGTTCTCTCCAATTTTGGGCCTTTCTACGGGGCTGCTTGTACTTGTGTACAACATGGTGACTGGGCTTCAAGAGCAGATATTAAGAAAAATGAAAGCTGCCTGCTTTTTAAATCCTGGGCCCAGTATCATTTCTCCCATAGTCTGATGGTCAAGCAGTCTTAGCTTGTCCAGATTTAAGAGGAGAGGTCAGAGACCCCATTGCTGATGGGAAGAATATAAAAGAATTTGTGAACATCTTAAACTACCACACACTCTAATCCCAGTAGGAGAAAAATGATGAGTGCATTTTTCTACTTAACTGTTCCTGTCTAAGAAAAGTTGTGACTCAGCTGCTTGTTGAATATTATAGAAGGAACTAGGTTATTCTTGACTTTGAGTCCTGTTCTCTGGGAAACAGTCTGTGCAAAAGAGGCATACATTGTAGTCTACTTCTTCCTTGTGGCAGTGAGGTTAGGAAGATGGGCATGACCCCTGTGGGCCTTTGGCTTTATTTTTTTTAAAAAAAAAACTGTGGTAAAATACCTATGATATAAAATTTACCGATATAGTTATTTTAAAAGGTACTATTTAAAGTGGTATTAAGTATATTTATAGTATTCTATCATCACTATCATCTAGAACTTTTTCATCACCCAAAATGAAACCCTGTAACCATTAAACAGTCACACTCTTCTATTCTCCCCTAACTCCAGTCCCTGGCAACTGCTAGTTTGCTTTGTCTCTGCATTTATATACTCTGCAAAGTTCATATATAATATGTATCTTCATGTCTGGCTTCTTTCACTTAGTGTGTTCCCAAGAACCATCCATATTGTACAGTGTATTTCATTCCATGGCTGAATTATATTTCTTCATTTGTATTTACCACATTTTACTTATTTGTCTGTTGAAGAGCACTTCGGTAATTTGCCTATTGTGAATAATGGTTCAGTGAACATTGCTATACAGGTTTGAATTTGTTTTCAGTTCTTTAGGATATATACCTAGGAGTGAAATTGCTGAGTCATATGGTAATTCCATTTTTAGTTTTGACAGTTGCTAAATTATTTTCCACAGGGGCTGTCCCTTTATTTATTTATTTATTTTTCCTTCTTTCTTTTTTAAGGAGCTCTGAACATTAAAACCAGGGGTGTTTTACCACTGGGCTATATCCCCAACCTTTTTTTTTTTCCCTAAATTTTGGAGATAAGGTCTTGCTTAGTTGCACAGGCTGGCCTTGAATTTAAAATCTTACCTCAGTGTCCTGAGTGGCTGGGATGACAGTTGTGCACCACTGTACCCAGTGGGTATATCATTTTTATTTTTGCCATCAGTTTCTATATTTCCCAAGGTGTGTTTTGTTTTGCTTTTTAAATATTCATTCTGTTAGGTATGTCCTTGTGATTTTGATTTGCATTTCGGTAATGAGTAATTTTTGTTTAATTTGCAATTGGTCTGTAATTTACAAGGGGAAGACTAGAATATTTCACCCATTCCCACCCCTGCTCTTGGGGGGAGGGGGAGAACAAGGACAAATAATGCATCAAAGAAAACAGAATTATTGGATGTTGAAATGGTGCTGGTGACATTCCAAGATGATCTTGGAATGACCAAATAGAGATGTCTGGTTCTTGCCTCATTCACAAAAAAGAATCAAAACAATGAATGAATAGTTGCATTTCAAGGAGAGTGGCTGAGGAAGAA